GTCCGTTGATTTGAGGAGCCCAAACTGCCAGTGGAGTCGTGTCACCTGGTGGAAGCATTCCTTCCTCTGAAACTAAGACCTTTGGGCCAGCAGAGCGTGATGTTGGGGGAGCAGGAAGCAAAAGATTTGCTAGTAGATTATTAGGGGTGATTGAGTAGTGCCACTCCTGTTACCGCACCTTGATTCTTGGGCCTGTGAATCCTGACTGTGGGAGGAACAGCGCTGTGTATTGGATGCTGATTTAGAGCATATGCAGCCTTCTGAAGAAGCTTAGCCCAGTCCTGCAAGGTGGTGTCCCCTAGTTGGCACTGTAACTGAGCCTTCAAAATGCCATCCACTCTCCTATCAACCCAGGTGCTTCAGGATGGGGAGAACGTGGTAAGGCCAATGAATTCCTTGAATATTGGCCCATTGTCCCACTTTTTGCTATGGAATGAGTTCCTTGATCAGAAGCAATACTGTGTGGAATACCACGATGGTGGATGAAGCATTCTCTAAGTCCACGAGTAACGGTCTTGGCAGACATACTATGGGTAGGGAAGCAAATCTGTATCCAGAGGAAGGAGAGAGCACCGCCCCTTCTATGATGGAAGCTGTCCAGTGTAATCACCCTGCCACCAGGTAGCTGGCATGGTGGGGAACATTGGGGACTCGGTATTGGTCCCCTCTGCTGGCAGTGTGCCAGGTTGGCCTTGGTGAGTGGAAGTTCATACTCCTAAGCATATGCATAACCTCCGTCCCTGGCACCAATTCCCCTTTGTTCATGAGCCCATTGGGTGATGACAGGTTGGCTGGGGAAAGAGGCTGAGTGGTATGGACAGAGTGGATCATCCTGTCCACTTGATTAAAATCCTCCTCTGCTGACACCCTTTGGTAAATGTCCACATGGGACACAAATATTTTCACATCTTATGATAATTCAGAGAGGTCTATATCCACATACCTCTTCCCCCAATTTCCTTGTCACCAATTTTCCCATCATGTTCCCTCCAGGTTCCTGACCATCCAGCAAACCACTGGCCACATCCCATGTATATAATCACATCTGGCCATTTCTTCTTCCAAGCCAAGTAAACAGCCAGGTGTACTGCCCAAAACTCTGCCCACTGAAGAATTTCCCTCCATCACTGACCTTCAGGGATGTCCCAGAGAGGCTGGTAGTCCTGCATCTGTCTGCTTTCGGGTAGTGCCTGCATATTGTGCAGAACCATCTGTAAAACCAGGCCCAAGTCTTCTCATCCTCTGTTAACTAATCACAGGGACTCCCCATGAGTCCATAGGTTGCAGCCTAGGAGCGGGAAGTCAGTGTAGCAGGAGTGGTGACTGTTAACTTATTTATGCCTTCAGGGTCTGCTTGGGCCTGGTCATGTATATACCAGATCCATCTGATGGAATGTTGCTGTGCCCACCCAAAAGTACGGCTTGGTGACTCAGATAACACCCAGTTCATAATGGGCAGGTCAGATTGCATGATGGCTTGGTGGTCCATGGCCAAGTGTTCTGTCTCAACTAAGGCCCAGTAGCAGGCCAAGAGTTATATCTCAAAAGTAGAGTAGTTATCTTCAGGTGGTGGCAGGGCTTTGTGCCAAATCCTAGCAGGCCTGCATTGTGACTCACCTGTGCGGCCTTCCAGAGACTCAAACAGCACCATCTGCTCCGCCGCTTCAAGGACCATTGGATACGCTGCATGCTCACAAGGGGCAGAGCAGCTTGCCCAGCAGCCTGGACCTGTTGCAGAGCCTTCTCTTATTCTGGACCCCACTCTAAAACCACAACCACCCAATCCAGGGTTAGTAAGTGGGCCGGAATAACACAACCAAATGAAATGTGTTGCCTCCAGAATCCAAAGAGGTCCACTAGGCGTTGTGCCTCCTTCTTGTAGGAGGGGCCAGATGCAACGACTTAACTTTTACATGAGAAGGGATCTCTTACCATGCGCCCCCCTCCACTGGACTCCTAGAGAGTTCACTGAGTAGAAAGCCCCTGAATTTTAGTTGGATTTATTTCCCACCTTCTGGCACAGATGTCTTACTAGTAAATAAGAATAGTTGTGGCTTCTCACTCACTAGTGCAGTGGACAGTGTTGTATCAGATGGAAGAGAGGAGTGCTCAAGACCCCGGCCGACTGAATCGTGACCTAGAGCTGAAGAGCTGGCAGGCCCCTGAGGCGGGACAGCCAAGACGTGCTGCTGGCCTTGCCGCTGGTGGGTAAGGATGGGCATGGAGAAAACGGCGTTTGTTGGACCAGTAGCTGTACACAGGTACCAGGGGATGTACTAATTGTCTCAAGCAGCGAAGCCACACTGGTACAGCAGCTGCAGCTGGAGTCACCACCTTGTTCGGCTTCTGTGACCCACTGCCATTGTCCAGGCTCCATCTGTCCTCTGCAGAGGCCTAATAAGAGTGCTGAATGGGGTTGAGGGAGTTACTGCCCCTGCATCTTTCAAGTCCCTGGGGGTGGTAGCAATCTCTGCAGTCCCTCAGGGGATGTGGTGTTGCTTTGTCTTACTGTGTTCCAAGGTTGGCCTTTCCTATCAGGTAGACCTCACTCAACAGGTCAGGGAACTAATGTGGGGATCCTGCCAGCTGTGAAGTATGCCTTTTCCAATTACACATTCTGGAACTGGGGAAATGACTGCAGGGCGGGTTCAGGGACCCACTGGACCCACTGTGAGGTGGACCTGAGCTAAAATCCCATTGACCACCTGGCCTCTGTAAACCTGTACTTTAACTGGAGGGCCACAGTGACGTTTTGGGTCTCCTAAAATCAGTGTCAGTTCAGAACCTGTACAGTAGTCCCTGAAAGGTCTGGCTATTTCCTTTTGCCCAGTAAACAATTATTCTCGTGTAAGGCTAAGGTCCCTTTGGGGAAGGCTTGGAGAAAGACTAAGTATACATTTTTAGCAGTGTTTTTGGGGTCCTTCCTCAAGAGGACTTGGCCTTCCCTTCATTCAAGGGGTTCTAGGTCTGTAAATTGGCAGAAATCTGAGAGTCAGTTGAGGAGCCATGATTCTATTTTTATTGATTCAGGGTTTTTACACTTGACCTAGAACTTTTCTGCTTTATACAGGTTACAATTTAGTGGGCTTGATAGGAATTGGTATAGGATAGATCTTTAATCATGTTTTCAATTTTTTCTATGCTTGGTTCTCTGTTCAGCTTTTTCTCTTCTATTTTCTTAGAAAATTGCCTATTTTGGTTGAATATTTAAATTATTCATCAGAGGAATATATAGCAACTTAGTTTTTAAAAGGACCTTTTCATTTCTTGTTAAAATGCTCCTTATTTGCATTGCTAACTTTTCAGTCCTCTCTCTTAGTGAGATTTGTCTGGTATTTATCTACTTCATTTTTTCAAAGAATAGCTCTTGGTTTTAGTTATCATTTTTATTGTTTTAAATTGATCACTTCTGCTTTTGTCTTAATTCTGTCCTCAACTTTTTGATTTAAAGACTTTAATTTTCTACATTCTTGAGTTGACTGCTTATTAATTCATTTATTTTAGTTTTATGTAAAAAAAATATCTGAAGCTGTGACTTCTTTTGTTTCTAACTTTGACTAGGTGCCATATATTTGAAAATCTCACTGTCAAAGTCTTCATTGTTCTCATTGTCATTAATATCTTTCCAGTTGTCAAAGTTCACACCGTTTACTAAGTAGCTAAGTCAGAATTCAAAGCTAGACAGGCTGACTTCTGCTTTGTTACGTCGTCTTCATTGTAGAACAGGGAGAGTGAAGTTAAATGATTTGGTCAGGATGGTTGATTGAAATAGGACATTGAGAATTAATTCTTTTTTTTCCCCAGACTCATCAGGAACTTTCTGATACCTAATCAACAGAATCCCACTGAAGAGAGCCTAGCTTTGTAGGCGTGTGCACAGTGAAGATAACTAGAAGCCATAAGGCTCAAAGTGGTTCTGTGGGTTAGTTAGACATGTCTTCTGCTGGTGTTCTCTGGGGTCACTCAGGTGCCCCTTGGGATGCCTTGTTTTTTTCCTACAGCTGGATTCAAAGAGCCATTGCATTGACTTAAAATAAACAGCTTTAGTGAGGTATTTTTTACTCATTTCAAATGTAAGATTGAATTTTAGTAACAGTATCAAGTGGTGCAATCATGACTCCATAAAATCAGTTTTAGAACATTTTAATCTCTTCAGTAAGATCCCTTATGCCCATTTACTGTTAACCCCTTTTCCTATCCCCTGCTCCAGGCAGCCACTAATCTTTCTATTTCTATATACTTGCTTTTTTTGTATATTTCATTTAAATGGAATCATACAATATGTGATCTCTTGTCTGGCTTCTTTCATGCAGCATAATGTTTTTGACATTAATCCACAGGGGGTTACATGTATCAATAATTTGTTCTTTTTTTGTTGTTGAAAGATACTCAGTTGTATGGCCATACCATGTCATTGGTTTTTAGTAAGCCTATAATTTGTTTTGGAAACATTTTTGATCCAGTTTTGATATAAATAGGGTCACATTGTAGCCTTTAATACTCTATTTTTGGGATTAAGACTTTTCGTGGTAACCTAATACATCAGGGTTTTTTTTTTAATGTTCTTTAGAAGTTTTAAAAATATGTTTTGTCTGTTTAAATAATACAGTCTTTTATGTGGCTGTCAATTTATACTTTTTAAAAAAGCTATTGAAATATTCTACCAGTTTTGTTTATTAGTCCTCTTATATTAGAATCTTTATTATAATTAGCACTTTGCCGAATTCTTGTTTTCTAATAGTTTTTTAAAATATAATGCCAAGTACACCTTCCTACACTGATGGACAGTGACTGCATTGGGGTAGGGGTGGGGACTTGATAATATGGGTAAATGTAGTAACCACATTGTTTTTTCATGTGAAACCTTCATAAGAGTGTATATCAATCATACCTTAATAAAAAATTTTTAAAAAATTCATGTGTGTATATATATATATATAATGCCAAGTATACTAATAGTTCAATATTTATACCTCTTCTAGAATATACATCCTTGAGAGATGCAGGCCCCTGCAGTGGTGGAGACAGCTTCCGGTAAAAGCTACCACAAAAATGGAGGAAACATCCAGAAAGGTGAGGGGCCAGACCAGTTGGTTTTATTCTAGGTGGAGAGAGTACGAAATGCAATTGGGCTAGAAAGTTCCCCTCCAGTGTCACTACCATTTAACCTTTCCTCCCAATAAGGTGGTAAGATTCAGCATATTTTTAACTTGGCAGATTCACTCAGATGATTTTTGATGAATAAGGGCAGCCTACACAGGACCTCTTAGGTAGAAGATTTAGGGAAGAGAATGGTGAACCCAAAGAAAGGGTTTCTCCCCAGCCAGGCTTGGAGGAACTGCCTGCATGTACAGCTGCCTTCAGGGTAATAAATGGGAAGTAGGCAGGTTGATTTCTGCTACCCAAGGTATATATGTTTTGTCTTGACACAAATCTGGTATTTCTTTTTCTGTGGTAATGTAGAAAAGAAAATAAGAAGTAACAAGAGCATAAAAAAGATGATCGAACTAATTAACTCTGTGTGCTTATAACTATATGTAATGAAAAAGTCAGTAATATAAGTATGAAAAACAAAGAATTAGTATCCAGAATATATAATGAGCTCCTATACAAATCTTTAAGAAAATCACAGTCAGCCCAGGAGTTTATCATGAAAGCTGGCACTGTTCTCCTTAGCTCCAACCCCATACCTATGGCACATTATTAGACATTTGCATCCGGGTGTTTTATCACTAACCTCAAAATCCACTTGCCTAGAATTCATCTTCTGTCTCCTGCCCTTGCTTTTCGTCTTCTGAATCTACTCTTCTTCAGAAAGTCCCTATCTCTTTAGCTCCAAATATTCCTATTCAACTGTAATACCATTATAAACCTTATCTTAGAGCAATGTTTAAATAGGTGGTAGCCAATTGGTGAGCCCTGAAATAGCTTAGCTGATTGTGATCAGTTTTTTTTTAAATAAAATAGGCTAGAAAATACCAGAGTACATTGGAAGAGTAGTTGCTGTTTTGTAAACTATTTGTTTACACACATACATATGTATGTGTATACTGGATGTTCATACAAAACATGTTTTTGCTTGTGTTTTAGTCAAATATTGAAAGCAACTAAGTCTCTCCTTTATCTCCCATTCCTGATCAACCTTTGTACCGGTTCTTTCTCCTCCAGTCCCACTCCAGCTCTCCTGGTCTGTCTGCCTCCAGTCTCCTCTGTGGAGCCTTCATTCTCACTGTCGCCAGAGGTGTCTGAACTCAATCCCACTCACATGGCTCCCCTTTTAAGAGGCCCAGCAGTCCTCCATTGCCTGAGAACGAGAGCCAGACTCCCTGTTAGCGTGTCACAAAAGGCCTCTTTCCGTTCACAGCTCCTGTCATTCCTGTAGAACTATTTGCACTCCAAACAAGCTGACCTACAATTCTGAAAATGCCATGTTCTTTCATGTAACTAACTTTATAACTGTCTGTTTTGTTTAAAAACCCCTTATAGGTATAAAATCTCTCTGATATCTGCTTCTCCTTTCTTCTCAAGCATTTCCCTGTGCATCAACAGAAAATGCCATGTTCTTTCACGTAACTAACTTTATAACTGTCTGTTTTGTTTAAAAACCCCTTATAGGTATAAAATCTCTCTGATATCTGCTTCTCCTTTCTTCTCAAGCATTTCCCTGTGCATCAACACTACTCCATCCGCACTCTGTGACTGTACTATACTTACGTGTGCTCTTCAAATCTGTGACCTTTAAGAAAGCCCTAAGTATTAGGGTGCAGCACCCATGGCTTATTCCCTTTGTTTCTACAGTGCCTAAGGCTGTCACCTAGAGGCACCCAGAGATTACAAATGGAGTGACTGCCTTACATAGTAATGCCTTGCCTTTAACAGAGTTCACAGACGTTAGCTACTATGTTAGCCAGCTACGGCTACCATAACAAAATATCACTGACTGGGTATCATAAACAACAGGTATTTTTTCACAGTTCTGGAGCTGGAAGTCCCCATGAGGGTACTGGTCCGGCTAGGTTCTGGTCAGGGCTCTCTTTCTGAGTTGTAGATGAAAACTTTACATTGTCTCACAGGGTGGAGAGAAAGAGGAAACCACCCCATCTTGAGGGTCCCACCCTCATGACCTCATCCAGCCCTGATTAACTCCCAAAGGCCCCACCTCCAATTACCCTCATATTGGGAGTTAGGGTTTCAACAGATGAATTTTGAGGGGAACACAGGTCAGGCTGATCAGGAACCATAAGGGATTTTTGTCATGGACAATATAAAAAGTGTCCCTACATCAGGAGAGCTTGGACCAGATCACATCCAAGATCTTTTCTAGTGTTTAGATTCTGTAATACTGCTAACATTTTATTCTTGTGTTTTTTTAAATCAGATGAGCCTTCTAATCCTAAGAAAGAAAATTTATCATTATCTTCCAATGGTTATAATGAAGCCAAATCGACTTTTCTTGATGATGACTGGAATTACTTGCCACTAGGACAGATCGCTAATGACAAAGCAATCAGCAATATTGACAAAACAGATACACTGGAGCCAACTTTTACTGCAAGTCCAGATACCAGCATAGGAAGTAGTCGCTCACAGTCAAGTGAGTGTGAAGACAGTATCGAGTACGCTTTCTTCAATGAGACATACTCTATACATTATTCAGAGTCAAAACTAAAGAATGAAAGTCTTATTTATTTAAATTCGGAATTAAATTCTGAAATGCAGAAAAGAGAGGAGGTATTTTTTGAGACTTTGGAATGTCAAGGTAGTAAGATTATTGGCTTAGAAAGAAACTACAGGAGTTCAGATAATGATGATAAAGAAACTGCTGAAGATGTGCAAAAGCATGATATAGATGAAGATTCACAGCGGGAATATCACAGTGCAGAAGAGCAAGAATATATAAGTTACCATTTATCTTTTGACCAAATGAAAACACTAAGCATACCTAATCTGGAAATGGTTGGATTAAGAAATTCAGGTTATGAAGTTAAATATGATAGCAATACAGAAGATAATCATGTTAAGTTGGAGAGTAGTTCTAGCATCTCTGTAGAGTCAACTGATGTTAATGGACAAAAAAATTCACCTCATATCTCCAAATTTCCGAACTCTGTTACATTAAGACAGTATTGTGGACTGAAGCATGACAGATGTGAGGAGCAGGAGACTAGTTCAGTGTACCACACGTTATTTGATGAAGTTGTACTAAGGAGTAGTCCTCTGGAAAATCGGGAATCTCAGTCTAAAAGTGGTTTCTTGAACCCACAAAGTGCATTAAAAACTAAAATTTATGCTGGCAGAATGAAATCTCACATAACTGAAAGGAAAAATTTTTGTGGAGATCCAATTATTGAGAACAAAATATTACAGGACACTGAAAATCCTAGCACATTACCACAGGACAAAGCTTTAGAGTCGTTACTCCAACCCTGTAAAGATTGTCAAACTTCCTTTGTGTCTGATGATTCGGTAATTTCTGCCTGTGGATGTTCACATTATGAAAGCCTACAAAATACCCCTGACCCAGCCGTAGATGTTTCTGTTCCTCTCCCAAAGATTCCAGGCAAAGATAATCAGGCAATAGAAGGAAATAGCTCCCTAAGAGTTCCTGGTAGCACCGCAAATAAAACGTGCTTCCACCATATGAAAAGAACCTGCCCAGAATCGGGGGCAGACACTGCAGGGCACGCGGTCACAGTTAAGCCGGTGGGTGTTAGTGCTGATTTCAGGGCTTGTTCCACAACCAGCAGGGCAGCAAGTGCCAGACCTGCAAGGTCTGCATCAAGCAGCACAGAGACAGTGATGGACAAAGGGCCACCTGGCAAGTGGCAAAGCAAGAAACCCAGAAGCGTGGCCTGTAACACAGACGGGACATCCAGTCAAGATGATGGAGATGCGCAGGCGGCTACAACGAAAGGACTGCTGGGAAAATCTCTCTCAGATAGCAGCTTAAAACCTGATGGAAATTTCAGAAATAAGGTAAAACCAGTGTGATTGATAAGAACATTGTATTTGACTGTATGAAGAGGCGGGGTGTGCTACTATGGAGCACATACAGCGCGGGTTCCTGAGGCTTTTGGGAGGAAATGCTGGAGGAAGGGAAAACATGAATTCGATTGCTACCAAGCCTTTCCTTCTCTGGAGGCTATTGCCACCCAGTCAGTCAGAAATTGGATTTTACATTTGACCAGTTTGGAACTCCAGATACTGTGTCCTTTGTCATATTTTTAATTTGATTTTAAATCATGTTTTCAGGATTCACTGGAATTGAAAACATTTGATATCACAGACTTAAAAAAACATCCTGAGAGGTAAGTCAGATGTAGAAACTTGTAGGTACCCATAAGGAAAAAAATAAAAATAGTAATTTGCTTTTTTGTAGAGTATTTAACTGTGTAGAATACTGGCTGAAAGGGACTTTAAGAGTTACCTTCTTCAGCCATTTGCCTTCAGGCACATTAATATTAGGATGATATCAAATGTTAAAGCTTTTCACTTCAATGAGATTTCAGTCTGACTATTCACAGACAGCATTTTACCTTTGTTCAGTCCAAACCCATACTGATTTAATTGCTCCGTTGTCTTTCATTTGACCCCACCCCTACCCTTCCAGGCCAAAACAAAATAGCACCTTTGGAAAATGTCATATGTTTGAAGAAGAAAATAGCTACTTTCCTGGGGGTTTTAATCCTGATTTTAATTCATTGTATAGTTTACTTTGCATCCATGTAGAACCAGGAGGTGGGGGAGGAGAGAGAAAAGGGGAAAATCTCCGAGAAGCCAAATTAGCTTTCACGCTCTGAGGTCACTTACTTTTACCTTCCTTCACTCTTCATTGTTCCAGTGAGTTTACTGCAATGTCTCAGCCTGTAAATTTAAATAGAAGAGTTGGTTTCCAGAGGCAGAAGCATTGAGAACAGCTGGAAGTGGCAGCTACTCGCACAGGAAGAACTGTTAGCATTCAAAAAACGTACAATTTGGGACTTTTTGATAAAACACAGCAAAATATTTGCTTAGAATGACCCTTAATTACTAAAAAACATGTAAATTATGTCTTATTTCCTATTAAAAGATAACATTTTAGAACAGTTTCCATCCAGAATGCTCATCACTTCTAAAAAAAGTTGGCAGAATCTTAATTTAGGTTGAAAATCTGTTGATTGTGGATAAAGTCAATACTTTACTTTGGAATCCTTTTTTGGTAAAAGAAAATATGAATTTGAGAACTACTTGGCTTCCTTGACTTCTAGAAAGAATATATTTAGCTTTAACTCTTGACATCCTTGTTTTCAGCTGTAATGTGTTCCTAAACCTTTCCATCCTTAGGGAGAAATTATTTAAACTTGACAGGGAAATGTAAGAAATTTCAAATTTGTTTCTAGAGGCATGTCATTAACAGAAAAATACTTGGACTCTTACCTAATCCAATCTTTTATTTTAGGGAATCTCGGCTTTCTAAAGAGATGGAGAAAAATTTGCCATCAGAATGCTGTCAGAAAATAATGCAGAGAGCCATCAAAGCAGAGTTGCACCTATTAAATGTTCACTACCAAATGTGTCATCGCTACTGCAGTGATATTTACAGACTCGTAATGGGACATAGAGAAGGAGTAAATAGGTGACTGTTAATTCTAAATGTATCTTTTTAGAAATCTGTCAGTAGCTTTAAATTTGTTCTAGAAAATGTCTTTAATTTTAATTTTTGAAGGGCAGAATGAGGGGTAGATTATAGAGGTTCTGTCAGCTGGCCTAGGAGTGGTGGACTTTAAAAAATAATATTTCGATTTCATGAAGAGGCAGCAGTGCGCGAGGCTGTGACGGGTCCGGTCAGAGGACGGGGCCGATGTTCTCTGAAGCCCTAGTACGGATGAAGTCAGGGGCATTCTGCCACATTTTTCTGGCTTATATGTTGAGGGTTGCTTATAATGCCCCTAGAAAAACATCTGTGGTTTATTTTCTTTTATTAAACAGTTAAAATAAAAACTTTTAAAGATCTAGTAGAGTTAGAACTAAGTATATAATATTGGTGCTAAATGGACGACTGGGACCTGAATAATTTCGTTTTGTAAACTTAACTTTTGAACAGGAACTTATCAAATAGTTCTACCAAAAAAGAATTGGGAGCATCACTACTGTCTGTTCTGGGAGACTTAAAAGTTAGATATGAGAAACTGAAAGAAAAAATAAACAAAGGTGTACCACTGGAAGAGCTGCCCCCGCTGTCATTAGAGTCAAAATTATTATCTACCTTTTCTACGTTTGCTGCCAGGGTACGTATTATGTTTTAGGAAGAAAATTTTTGCTTCGTTTAGACAGAAAGCATTTTAAACTAAACGATTTTTCTTCCCTTCTCTCTCTTTCCAGCTGATGAAAGAAGAATCACATATGTAAGTTTTGGTTTCATCTAATTAACAATTCATTAGATCTTAAAAATTGTTTAATTCAGTTAACTTTAAGTTTTCTATTTTGGTCCTTATTCAGAACATTGATAAATTCTTTAATGAAATGTTTATTCGTTTAGCTTTGCAGGAGCAGATTCTGAATTAGATAATCAAAGTACACATGATGTTGACATTTCTTCAAGCCGAAAGAAGACGCTCTCTCAAGTGAGATTTTTTTTAAAGTAGTTCATCAGTATAAACCTTTAATTTTATGGCTTGTAAAGTAAACTCTTAATTTTCAGAAGCTCTCACGTCCTTGTTTTCACCCAACCGGCTTACTTTGCATACTACTGTTTGAGGGATGTAACTGATGAGAAGGAACCTAACAGGTGTCAGTAGTTAAGCAGGATGACCATATAATTTATCATCAAACCACGAGGTTTTGAGGATGAAAGCTAGTGATGATAACAATTCACCATAACAATACGTATAAACCTGGACTGTATCAGGCAAACTGGTGGCACCATCATGTTGATCCAGTGTAGTTAAAACTAATATTTTCTACCTTCATTTATGAAGTAAAGTAAAATAATATGCTATTCATTTTTGACAGGGTAAAGTTTTATTTCCCCCTTTATTGAAATGATTAAAATAGTTTTAAAGTGCCTTTCATAGGTTTTCTTGATCTCTTTTGTTCCCCTAAGGAATTGTGACATGATGTAGAAACATAAGTTATATTCCATTATCAAGTGAGGCAATGGGGTAGGAAAGCTGGAGTTTATATCTACTTGCTAACTTTTGTCTTAATCCAGAGGTTCTATTATTTGGGTAGTATTAAATAATAAGATGCATTCCAAAGCCAACAGTGAAATACCTGATTGATTTATATTCTTTTCAATTAACATTAATGGTTAAAAGTAAATTACTTTAGCCAAATATTTATTACATTGCTGTACTCTTTTTTCCCTTTAAATCTCAGTTATCCACAAAGATTTTAAAAATTTTAGATCAGATATTTAAAGCCTTAAATTTCTTAACGTAGTTTGCTTAAGCCAACTTGTCCATTTCATGAAATACAATGTTCTGGAGGGTTTGGATTTTTTTTATCATTGTAATGGTAACGTGGTATAACTTACTTAATTGGGAAGAACAATAAACTTTTTTTAAGATACAAGATGCAGATATATAACAATTTTTATAATCTTAGTTTGGACTATAAAACACTATCTGTTTTAAGTTAGAATTACATTTTAATATCTCTCATGAAATTAACAGGTTATACATGAAAGCCCAAATAGTGTTGTATAGTGTTTTTAAATTTTAACTATTTATGTACCATCTTCACAATCCATAGCCATGTATTAATTACTTAAAATGTTATTTGCTCTGTATTTTTCTTTAAATGATTTGCATTTTTAAATAAATTTATGTGTAAGACTAACTTACTATTACATATGGGAAAGAAATATTACTTCCCATTAACTAGAATATATACATAAGTACATATTAAATAAATGTTAGTTGTTAACACAAAAAATACTTATATGTTTACCTCCAAAAATCAGTTCAAATACTCCTAGTGTGTGTATGGCCACAGTTTGCTATATGCTAAATAGTAATGTTCACATACAGTCACTATAAACAGACTGGGTTCAAATCCTAATCACTGTTAACCATTTGAGAGACGTATAAAGCAACAAACTAGATTCAGTCTGCTCACCTGTAAATTCGGATTAATGATGATTTTGCTCTTGTAGCCTTCATTATTGGGGGGCTAACTAATGCCAGTGAGGAGTGCCCCCCACATAGTAAGAATGACAAAACTGTTAGTCTTTACTTATTATTATTGTTTTTATTATTTCAATCCTCAGACATCTTTATTATCTGACAATAGTCATCCTAAAGAGGATAAATCACCCAAGGAAGATGGTTTAAAAAATGGTGATATAGATATAGACTTTAGTCAACTGAAACTTGATGATAAAGGTGAGTATTAAAATGTATTGACTTGTATTATTGCCAAAAAACAATAAGGTTTAAGATATCCCTAGTGCCCATTCATTAAATGAAAATAAATATTTTAAATTGCATCATTCTGATTATGAATGTTGAGTATGTTATTACATCTGTTTAATATCTTTAAGGTTTCTTAGTATATCTGATAATGCAAATTATAATAATACAGACTTTTATTCTTCTGGTTTTTGTTTTCCAGTCTGAAATTTCTTCTGCCCAATTTGTATCTCTGTAAATTGTGTGTAATTTTTTTAGTTTTGTCGTATATGAAAAGATTCTAAAAAGATCATGAATTCAATTTTTAATGAACAAAAAGGGCTGCAGCACTGCTTAATCCCTTTTTAAAGATGCTTACTATTGCTTTGCATATAAAATGATGTCTCTTCTTTTGATTACTTTAAATAAAAGATTTAAAAATCAGAAAAGTAAGATTTTTAATAAGCTAGGAATCATTGTTAATTAAAGGAATACTGAGAAGCAGGTCACTGAGACTGAAAAGGGCTTTACTCAGGGACTGCCGAAAACCCCTTCTCAGAGTCTTTATGCTTGGTTCTCTTATTTTGCTAATATTTATTTTTAATTTATACATCAAATAGTAATTGTCATCATGTTTATTCACTCTGAGGAGCTTTTAGATAACTACTCAGAGGGTTAAACATTATAGCTACTTGTGTTCGATTTCTCAGGCTGCAAAAATTACCAAGACATAAGTGAAGACTGGTTTGATGCTAAAGAGAACCTGACAGGAGTTGACATCTCAGGAATACAGGAAAATCAGTTAGGACAAGGCAGAGGGGATCCGAAGCTTACACCGGGTTGGTTCTTAACAATTTACTTAAAAATCCTGAGTGACTCATTTGTGAAATAATGTTTACCATCTTCTGTGTTATAAGCTGTTTTATTGTTTTATTCCTCTTTGTAACTTTCCTTTATAAATAGAAAAAAGTGAGGAAATTGGTAATTTGGAGGTCAGTTTTTTAAAAAGTAAATCAGTTTTGGGAAACTAAATGCTTAGTTAAGCTAAATGCTTAAGTCCAAGACTTAGTTGGCAGGTAGAGGTCCACCATCCCCTCCACTGCTTGGCTGGTGTCAGTGTTGCTCAGGGTATCCTTTCCTGTGTGTCACTGGGCACTTCGCCCTATGGGGCACCAGCGAATAGAACAAGCTTCCTGTCTCCCGCAGGCAACAGGGACTATCTGTCACATTGGCATGAGATGAAAATTATTTGCATTCTCTCACTTTAATAAATCTTTTTCACGAATGTTTTCATCTTTAGATGGTTCCTAATGGTTTATAACAGTTGGAATGTCCTCAGTCGTCTGTGATCACTACTCCGCAGTATTTTCTAGTGATCTACTACCTTTCTCTATTGTTTCCTATATACTCCTGTGGAGTTTTAAAAAATTTTACATGATAGTAACAGTTCTATTGAGTTATTCCTACATATATAAACAGTGCTTACTAGGATTTTTTTGTTTTGCCCACTGCCTATCCCCAGTGCAAGGTACAGCATCCCATCTTAGGGTGTTTAGTAGATATATTGTACTAAATTAGTGAAAGGTGAGTTGATAGGGCGAATGTATGTCTCCTGATTGTTTAGTCACTGCCCTTGTCTACTAGACTGTAGCTCCTTGCTCCCTCCCCAGCCCAATGAAGAAATCTAAATTATGTAGTTTCACTATTTTCTCTATATAGTACATTATAAACCAGAGATTAATGAGTTAAATGAAGTCAATTAATGAAGAAAGGTATTGCCTGAGGTGAAGGATTTTACCTCAGTTGCAGCACCACCACTTACTAGATTTGTAACCTGAGTTCCTAAGGCCTCAGAATCCTCATCTGGAATGTAAATAACAATTGCTCCCTCATGGGGTGGTTGTGACCATTACAGGATAAGATGACACCAAGTGCTTGGAATGATGCATAGAAAATGAGAAGCGCTCAGTAAGTGTTAGATTATTATTGAGTAAGAAAACAAAATTTACAAATATCCCATTATTATATAAAAATAGAAAACATATAAAAAAGTGCTACTTTAAGAATTCATTCAACAATTATCATGTACCTCCTATGTGCCAGGTATAGGTTTTGACAGTAACTTTATAAAGAATCCCAGTTTAGTGAGTCCTTTTTGATTCAGAACAGTTTCTCTTCAAAATAGAGAACATGAAAGTACAGTTAAGAGTTTTGAATTTTTTTATCTAACAAGAAAATAAAAGATATCTATAATCCTAATATTTCTGGTTCCCAAAATAGTGCTGTCTAAATCAAGTTATTAATCCCACCCCCTTTTTTATGTGCCTCAGCTACTACCACAAACTATATACCTGCTATTGAGATTTGTCTGATTTAAAGATTTTCTTGGTATGATGTTTCCCCAGCAAAGAAAGAGAACCCTCGGTAGCATCAACATGGCGGGGGTGGGGAATGTTAGGATCCTATGTTTATCCAGCATGTTGGATAGCACGTCTATAAACCACAAATGAAAGGCACTTTTCTTAGTCACGATATAATGGATTAGACTGTCTAGATATTACTGATCCATTTTTGAGCTACAAGAGACTTAGTATCATCCACTCCACTCTCTCTGTTTTGAAGATGCTATAATTAAAGCCCAGAAATCTTACACCTGTACTCCATGCTGCTCGTCTTCAGTCTAGTGCTGATATTTACTAATAACTTTATAATAAGCTTTGTGATAATAAAAAATGAAATATTTAACAGTTCTCATATTTTCTCTTTAAAATATCGATACAATAATTGTTATCTTCTGTTGTGTGTTTCTCTACAAGCAGAAATGAAGAATGTTGAGCCCTTACGGAGAGAGAAAGGTTATTTGATACATGTTGGTGGTCTCTGCCCTTCAGTATCTGAGGTCTGCCAGGAGTTTTTCGCTTCATTTCCAAGTCTATTTATTGTTCACAGTTAATCTGTTGTTTTTTCCTACCTTTCACAAACTTTTATTTCTCTTCTTTTAGGCTGACTTAAGGTCTCATTTCCAGAAATACCAAGTTTCTGAAATTTCAATTTATGATGATTCTTCTACTTACAGGTATGTTTCCCAAACTCAATGAACGTGCATTTACTGGGTGCCTGCCCTGCCCCAGAGGTTCTGTACTGGACATCAGCCACAGTGATGTCTAAGTCATCTTCACAGGTTTCCCAGTCTAGTAGAGGGAGACGCACCAACGAGTAACTACAGTAATTAATTAATTGGTGCTGTTTCTAATCAAATAGTTCTTTCATTGTACCTTTAATTTTCAACTTGTTATTAATAATATATGAGTTACTGATTTTTGTGCACCTTATCTTGTTTGTTGATACTATGTCATGAGGCGGTCAAGGGCACTCAAGACAGTGGGCCCCACAACCCGACGGCTTGGGTTTGGTTCCCAGCTCCATCGGTAACTTACTGGATAAATTTGGACAAGTTACCTAACTTTTGGGTACCTCGGGCTCTTTATCTGTAAAGTGAGGATAATAATAGTGCCTTCACAGCATTGCTGGAAAACTATTATTATTTAAGTAAATAAAGCAGTAGGAGTAAAGCCTGGCATGTCGTAGGTGCTCAGAAAATTGTGTTTTATTATTTTTTTATTTTAATTACTTTCTAGCTGATGCTTTCATACTTTTTATAGACACCTATATCATCTACATATAGTCATTTCCAGTATGTATATTGTGCCTACTGTTTTGTGACAATGCCAAACATTCAAAAATATCAAATAATATTGGTGATAGCTTAATGGATATGCCTTTCCTGTTGTATCACTCAAATTGATACGTGTTTCAGATATGAAAATCTTAAGAAAGGATCCTGTTTGTAGTTGGAATTGAAATTAAAGTGTAATTTTTGTCTTGAATGGAGTCAGTTAAGATTATATGCTTTTTTATTAGACCTATTGATATGCTGTTAATACATTTCAGTTGAAGTAGTGTTGCAGCCTAGGAGGAGTATTTAATGTGAAGTACTCAGTATTGTCTTGCCAGTGGGTTCCAGCCCCAGGCAAGTTTATTATGAATTTGGTGAGACCGAAAAATAACAATGGAACGCTCTTGGGGTGACAGGGCTTATACCTAACTTTATTCTCATGGTGGCAGGTCAGTCACTCAGAATCCCATGCACTCAGAGCGAGTCTGCAGGCAGCAAGCCAGTCTCTGCCCCTGGGCCTCTCTGCCTGCACATCCATCTCAGTCTCTGTCCTCAGTGCTGCCACCTCTCCAGTCTCTGCCCTCCTGCAGCCGTGCAGCCATACCACCGTGTCGCCCAGAGCACTGGGCGGAGCTCTTTATATAGAGTCAATAGCAACGCATTGCCCACATGTGTGTAGTGAGCTAGCCAACCAGAGCCAGGTGAGAATCCTGGCCATAGGAACCTTCACTTTATACACAAGTATTTTGCTGAATCCTTAAAAAAAAAAAATCTTTGTGCTTTTTATTACCTGAAGTATTATATATTCTGTATGGAAATTTAGAAAATATTGTTAAAAAAGAAAAATACGAAAAGTTGTAAAAATTTATCTGTTTGAAAACAAGTCCTCTTCAGATTTGGTATATATCCTGCTGACACTATCTAGG